TACTAAAGTACTGCATCATATGGTCGATCTATTTTTGGTTTATTCAGATATTTTCTATTGCCATTCATGAAGATACAATACTGTTTGTATTCCTTCCTACAGAATTTGAAGTTTCCTTTCTTTCTACCCAGAGCAAGAAACCTGTGTCTGGTTAGTTTCATGCTAGACATTCTCACTGGTTTTAGTTCAGATTTTATCAATATGTTGATTTCTGTTACCATGATATCTAGTTAGAATAAGCTTGGTTTTTTGTATGCCCAGTAGCCAGCTCTGTATCTCCTTTGCTGCTCTGTTCTTTCTCACATGATTTCACAGCCGGTATTCTTATTTAGTTTTGTAAATCTGTTAAGTATCTATGAAACGTATCTATGAAACAAGCAGATTGTCAAATGTATGCTATCTGTAATTTCCTGTATTTTCTCCCATTCACCAAGGAGGCCAAAAATCTTTCTCTAATACAAAAATGTAAGGTTTGCTCCTAAAAACTACACTAATAAATATAATCTCTTTCCAAATAAGAAAGTGGTCATCATATTCCATAGCCCTTGCACAAAATCATGATAAAATAATAAAATTCCAAAACCATGTGTTATAAAGGAAAAGGTGAGACAGATCAATGCCAATTTTAAAGTAGTTTTTGTGGTTTCTAAGGTCCACAATGATTACCTGTCCATAGGCAAACTTCTCTAAAAACATTCTTCACTCTTCTAACCTTTAACGTAATCAATAATGAAGTAATAGAATAGCAGGCAGGGCATTTGCTTTGCGTATGGCTTACCAAGGTTTAATCCCCAGCAACACATGTGGTCTTTCAAGCACCATCAGGAGAGATACCTTAGTGCAGATCCCGGACTAAGCACTACTAAGTGTGGCACAAAAAATAGAAACAAATAATGTGATCAATGATAGGTTATCAAATAATCTATGGACACTGTTATGCAATGCTGAAAGACAAAAATGCATGTACAAAATAGGCGTTCTTCTTGTTGAGTATTTTTAATTATTTTCTTATGAATAAATCGTATTCTTTGATCAGAATTATAGAGATACAAATTGTGAGTTGCAGTTATAATTTAGAATTAAAGGAAGACATGCTTATAACTTTTAGATAATAGTACAGTGTACCTTTCAGGAATATAAAATATAGATGTAAATTGAGAAAAGAATCAAACATATGAAAGTTTCTACTTTTTTTCACCACATTTAGTCATATTGTTTTAGCAGATCTCCAGAAAAATCTCCCAGGTATAAAATTTATTATATCCTTAAGCTCAAGTGCTGCATAAATCAATTAATCTTTAAATACTGACTTTTTTATTAAAAATTGTTTAATAGTGAGACATCATGGGGTACAGTTGCAGACTTACACATTTTTGTGCTTGGGTTTCAATTATACAATGATAAAATACCCATCCCTACACTGGTGCCCATTTCCCACCACCACAGATCCCAGTATCCCTTCCACCCCCCATCCCACCCTGCTTCTGTGGCAGGGCATTCCCTTTTGTTCTCTCTCTCTTATTAGGTGTTGTGGTTTGCAAAAGAAGCAAAGGGTGACAATCATGTTAAGTCTATAGTCTACTTTCCGCATGCTTCTCCCATCCTGGGAGGATCCTCCCAACACCTTTATTTGGTGTTCCCTTCTTTATCTGAGCTCCCTTTTTCCCTAGTATGTGTGGTTGGCCTCCAAGCCATGGAGTAAAATTCCTGGTACTAATCTCGGCCATTCTTGGGTGTTAGTCTCCTATTTTGTTACTTTATGTTCCCTAGATGAATGCAATCTTTCTATGTCTATCTCTTTCTTTTGAGTCATTTCGCTTAACATGATACTTTCCATGTAGTACCAGTTGTATGTAAATTTCGTGACTTCATCTTTTCTAACAGCTACATAGTACTCCATTGTGTAAATGTACCAAAGTTTCTTTAACCAGTCTTCTGTTCTCGGGTACTCAGGTTTTTTCCATATTCTGGCTATTGTAAAGAGTGCTGCAATAAACAGACAATTGCAGATGTCACTTCGACTATACCTTTTTGCCTCTCTGGGATATATTCCCAGGAGTAGTATAGCTGGATCAAATGGGAGCTCAATTTCTAATTTTTTGAGAATCGTCCGTACTGTTTTCCAAAAGGGCTAAACCAGTCGGCATTCCCACCAGCAGTGAAGGAGGGTCCCTTTCTCGCCACATCCGCGCCAGCACTGGTTGCTTCTGTTCTTGTGGATATGGGCCAGTCGCTGTGGTTTGAAGTGATATCTCATTGTGGTTTTGATCTGCATCTCCCTGATGATTAATGATGTGGAGCATTTTCTCATGTGCCTTTTAGCCATTCGGATTTCTTCTTTGTCAAAGTTTCTATTCATTTCATCTCCCCATTTTTTGATGGGGTTGAATGTTTTCTTTTTGTGGAGTTCAACCAGTACTTTGTATTTCCTTGACATTAATCCCTTATCAGATGTGTATTTGGCTAATATCCTTTCGCATTCTGTAGACTGTCTTTGTATTTTGGTCACTGTTTCTTTTGAGGTGCAGAAGCTTCTTAGTTTAAGATAGTCCCATTTGTCTATCTCTCTTTTCACTTGCTTGGCCAGCGGTGTGACATCTTTGAAGACACCATTAGCTTCTATGTCATGAAGTGTTTTGCCAACTTTTTCCTCAATGTACCTTATAGATTTCGGTCTGACGTTGAGGTCTTTAATTCACTTAGATCTTACTTTTGTACATGGAGTTAGGCAGAGATCTGAGCCCATTTTTTTTTTGCATGTAGCTGTCCAGTTTTGCCAGCATAATTTGTTAAAGAGGCTTTCCCTGCTCCACTTCACTTTTCTTGCCCCCTTATCGAAGAATAGATGCTCGTATGCTTGGGGTGAGATGTCAGAATATTCAACATTGTTCCATTGCTCTACAGCTCTGCCTTTGTTCCAGTACCTAGGCTGTTTTAATTATTACTGCCTTGTAATAGAGTTTGAAGTCAGGGAGGTTGATTCCTCCCATTTTCTTTTTCCCAAAAATTGCTTTAGCTATTCGTGGGGGCTTATTTTTCCATATAAATTTCAGGAGTGTTTGCTCCACTTCTTTGAAGAATGTCATGGGTATCCTAATAGGGATTGCGTTGAATGTATACAGTGCTTTGGGAAGTATTGCCATTTTGACAATGTTAATTCTCCCGATCTATGAACAGGGGATATTTTTCCATTTCCTCGTAACCTCTTTTATAGAAATACTGACTTTTAACATATTCCTCTCTATCGATAACATTTATTGAATGTGTCCAGATACACTGAATAAGTATAAATAATTAATTATTTATGTTTTGTAGTACAATATTAATATATCACATCCACCACCTTTATACCTCCACTAAAATACCAATTTATTTGAATACATAATCTAGGATTCTATTTTCCTCTAATGTGATTTATAATGTGATATATATATATATATATAAACTATGTGCTGCTTTCAATATTGGCAAAATGACAAATTTTCCACGTGCCTGCAAACTGAATCAATTTTCCCACTATTTCTAGGTGACTGTAAGTTTTAAGTAGATTAATAAAAGTAAAAACTAGATTTTGGTTTATAGAAGGAAATCATTTAATTTACTTATGCCATAATACTTAGGTTCTGATAAGTCTATTCTAAAGGTTAGATAAGAACGTAGAGCAAGTTTTGATAATGATGAAAAAGATCCCATGTACCTTAGATTGTATTGCTGTTGAATTAATCTAAAAATGACTCTTGTTTACAAGTCATGGGTATTGTCTAGAAATGACTTTCTTATATAATGATGTTTCTTTTAAGAATTAAAATAATCTCTATTCTTATGATATGTTAGAAAATGAATCAAAATGGGAGTGATACCAGTGTTTGGATATTATTTTAAAGCTCACGACCATGGGCCCAGAAAGATAATACAGGGCTTAAAGTACTTTCTTAGTTGGTGACCGAGGTTCAGTTGCTGGTATCAGATATATTCCCCAGAGCAGAACATGAAAAGATTCCTGTGTTCAAATCCAGAAATACCAAAATTTAGCAGGTTTTCTCTATTTTTCCCCATTCCAAAATTTATTTATTTATTTATTTTTTTCCCTACCGAGGCCACCAGTTGCCCCCCACGAGCGGCTCTCCAGCACGGCCACAGCCCCAGAAGCACAAGGACTTAATGCAGAACCCAACAGCTTGGAGCAGAAAAGTGAACAGACTATGCGTTAATCCAGGCCATCAAATCTGCTGGAGGGGAAAGGGTGTTGCCCCATTCGCCCTCTCCTCTCTGGAAAGAAAGATGGCGGCCACATGGGAGCCTTGTGGACAGCAGCCATTCCAAAATTTAAAGAAATTCTTTTTTTTTCTATTCTTTCTCTATTATTTATTCATTTATTTTTTGCTTTGAATCATACCTGGCCAAGTTAGACTGGGCATAGTTTTCGCATCCTCTAAGGGATTATTCTGGCAAAAACCAAGGGACATATGCAATACTGAGGATCTAACCTGAGTTGGCAATATGTAAGGCAAAAGCTCACTTGCAGTACTGTATCTTTAGCCCGTTTCAAGAAATTCTAATCCTATATGCAAAGGGGCAAATTTATACATATTTCCTATCTGATTCCATGTGAAATATCTGTCTTTATTTAAGTTTTACTTATGATATTGAAAATCAGGGTCTCAAATGAAGTGAATACCATTAAATTATCGAAAACTACATAGGATTTGGAATACAAGTCAAATAAAAAAATAATGCTCGAGCGGGTCCAGTAACGTCTCCATTGGAGACTTTGTTGTTACTGTGTTTGGCATATTGAATACTCTTGGTAGCTTGCCGGGCTCTCCGAGAGGGGCGGAGGAATCGAACTCGGGTCGGCCATGTTGGCCGCGTGTAAGGCGAACGCCCTACCGCTGTGCTATGACATTTCTAAACAAAATCCAAGTGAAAGAAACATTGTTTTCTTTATCACTCATCATTCTCACTTTTACACATAGATCAAGAAGATTCAGAAGTCAAACATGAGAAATCACACAGCAATCACCACGTTCATTCTCCTGGGATTGACAAATGACCCACAACTGAAGATTCTACTTTTTATATTTCTACTTATCACCTACATGTTGAGTGCTGTTGGAAACCTGGCTATCATCATTCTCACCTTTGTGGATGCTCACCTTAAAACTGCTATGTACTTTTTTCTGCAAAACTTTTCCTTCTTGGAAATCTCATTCACATCTGCCTGTATCCCAAGATTCTTATACAGTATAGCAACAGGAGATAGAACCATTACCTATAGCTCTTGTATATGTCAGGCATTTTTCACAGACCTATTTGCAATAGTAGAATTCTTTCTTCTGGCAACTATGTCCTACGATCGTTATGTAGCCATCTGCAAACCCCTTCATTATATGACAATCATGAATCCCATGGTCTGCAAAAAACTTATCTCTGGCTGTTGGATAATTACCCTGTTGCTCATAATACCACCACTTGGCTATGCACTGACACTTGAATTCTGTGACTCTAAACTCGACCACTTTGTCTGCGATGCTAATCCTCTACTGAAGATCTCCTGCTTTGATACAGAATTCATGGAGAAGATGGTTCTTTTCTGCTCTTCATTTATCCTACTAGTGACTCTCACGTTTGTGGTTTGGTCCTATGGAAGTATCATTCACACAATTCTTGGGTTCCCTTCTGCTCAGCAAAAGAAAAAGGCCTTTTCTACCTGTTCCTCCCACATGATTGTGGTTTCCATCACTTATGGCAGCTGTATCTTCATCTATATCAAACCTTCTGCAAAAGATGAAATGGCTACTAATAAGGGAGTGGCGGTGTTAGCTACTTCCATCTCTCCCATGTTAAACCCATTTATTTATACTCTGAGAAACAAACAAGTGAAAAATGCCTTGAATGAGTTTTTTAAAAAGCTACTACTCTTGAGATATCACAGTGGTTAAGGAGCTTGCCTTGCCTGTAGCTAATTTGGACTGTCCCATGAGCTGAGTCCACTACCTGATGGCCTGGCTTTTAATATTGTCATATTTTTATAGCATCTTTCACTTCATCATTGTCACTGTCAGTCTGTTGCTCAACGATTTGCTCAAGCAGACACCAGTAACTTCTCCATTGTGAGACTTGTTGTTACTGTTTTGGGCATATTGAATACGGCACAGGGAGCTTGCCAGGCTCTGCTGTGCAGAAGAGATAATCTCGGTGGCTTACCCGGTTCTCTGAGAGGCACGGAGGAATCAAACCTTGATCGGCCGCATGCAAGGCAAATGCCCTACCCTCTGTGCTATCACTACAGCCCATAGCATCTTTAATTTTAAAAATTTATGTCTAGTCATCAGAGTAATTTGTTTTCTTCTACCATTCCCTTCTATTTCAGGGCTAGAATAGCAAAGCTGGGAGGGCAACTGCCTTGCATATAGTCCACCCTGGTTCATTCCCCAGCAGCCTCTATGTTCCCCATGCAGAGCCAGAAGTGATCTCTAAACTCCAAAACAAATAAGCCTGTGACACTGCAAGATGTGACCCCAAAACACACAAACAATGAAAATTTCCTTCTAGTTTTATGAAAATATATGAACTTGTCTAGAAGATTATCTAAGTTTGACAGTGATTTTCATAATCAATTAAGAACTATTTGTGATAATTTTGATATTTTCTATGGGTAAAACAGCTTTATAGTTCATTGACTAAAAAAATGACAATAATGCCCTAATTAGAACTTCTGTTGTGCATTCAGCAGCTATTCGATTTTTTTAATTCACTGTCACTGTATCACTGCCATCCCATTGCTCATTGATTTCCTCAAGCAGGCACCAGTAATGTCTCCATTCATCCCAGCCCTGAGATTTTAGCAAGTACCACATTGCAGGCTGTTTCAGGGTCAAGGGAATGATAACCATCATTGTTACTCGGTTTTGGCATATTGAATATGCCACGGAGAACTTGGAAGATTCTGCAGTGCAGGCAGGATACTCTCAGTAGCCTGCTGGATTCGTGGAGAGTGAGAACTAGATAATAAGCGGTCGCACGGCCATGAATGAGGCTGTGTGCCCCCAGGAACTTGATTTTATATTCTCTGGATCTTGGCTATTGGTGGGATTAAACAACACCAGGGGCAGTTGGTGAGTGTAACTGTCTAGCTACTGAAGATGGGGTATCTGGGTGGAGGAATTCTATAATGTGGCAAAAAAAAGTTCTAAGCATATATTTTTAAATGATTGTCATAAAGCAGATATGTCTCTCTCTAGTGACCGCATTCAGTGTTTGCTCAACTTCTGATTGTTAAATTTAATATGTAATGAATATGATAGTGGGCCAGAGAATTTAGTATATTTAACAAGTTTTATGTCCTTTAAGACATATATTATAAAATATTTTATAATGATTAATCTGTAGCATTGTGCTCCCATTGTTTATGGATTTGCTCGAGCTGGCCCAGTAACACCTCCATTGTGAGACTTTGTTGTTACTGTGTTTGGCATATCAAATACATCACGGTAGCTTGCCAGGCTTTCTCGTGCAGGTGAGATACTCTCGGTATCTTGCCAGGCTCTCCAAGAGGGGCGGAGGAATTGAACTCGGGTCGGCCATGTTGGCTGTGTGCAAGGCAAACGCCCTACCCGCTGTGCTATCCGCTCTAGCCCAATGATTAATCATAAAGTGAAAATAAAAGAGGCTACAGAGATAGCCGAGGAAGTAATGTTCATGCACAAGACAACCCCACCATCCCAGTTCAATCCCCAGCACCACATATGATCCCTTGAGCGCCACCAGTCATGATCCCTGATTGCAGAGTCATGAGTACAATAACTTGTAGACCACTAAGTTCAGTTCAAATACTGTGCAGGTGCCAGTAATGTCTCCATTCATCCCTGTCATGTGCTAATGTAACCCAATGGTGTCTGCTTGCTCCAGAAACACAAAGAGCCTCAAACCATTTGTACAGGGTTTTGAAGAAGAAGACTGACCATCTCCCAGGTGTGTGGCCATTCGTCCTTAAGACGTCCTGTGGAATCCAGTCAGTACAGCTCTAGTCCAGTGGTCATCACTAAATCGCAATACCTGTCCAGTCCATATGTTTTTTGATGCCTTGGCATTCATTATTATTCATATATATTCATATATATATATTTTTTCTTATTGGGTCACATCCAGTGATGCCTAGGAGTTACTTCTGGCTGTGCATTCAAGAATTAATTAATATTTGCTATTTCATTGGTAAAGAAACAAACAGCATCCAGCCCAGACAAGGTCACACCTGAACACCTGAAGAACCTGCCATCAATACTCATCAATACACTGGCTCAGCTCTTGATATGCTACCTGTCTGATTGCAAGGTTCTGTCCCAGTGGAAAACCAGAAGGACTGTACTACTGCACAAGAAGGGAGAAATCCAGGAGATTGGCAACTATCGGCAGATCTGTCCCAGTGGAAAACCAGAAGGACTGTACTACTGCACAAGAAGGGCGAAATCCAGGAGATTGGCAACTATCGGCAGATCTGCCTGTTATCTGTCTTCTACAAGCTGTTCACTCGAGTCATCCTGAACACGAGTGGCAGAACACTAGATGAAGGAAAATCATGTGAGCAAGCCGGGTTCTGAAAAGGATTCAGCACAATCGACCATATCCACACGATAACCAAACTCATTGAGGTTTCTCGGGAGTTCAAGATGCCACTCTGTCTAACATTCATTGATTTAAAGAAGGCCTTTGATTCTGTTGAGACTGAAGCGGTCATCAAAGCCCTAGTACAATAGGGTGTTCAAACTCAATACATCAGACTCCTCCGTGAGCTGTGTTACGGATTTACCACCAGGATCTATCTCACCATTCTACAGGGAGGTTATCATTGATGTCAAGAGAGGGGGTAGGCAGGGTGATACCATTTCACCGAAACTCTTCAGTGCCACCCTCAAAAACGTCATGCAATGACTGGAAAAGGAAGGAATGAGAGTGAAGATAGATGGTTGGCAACTATACCACCTCCACTTCACTGATGACATTGTTCTTATAACACCAAGTATCAGCCAAGCGTCACATATATAGGCTGAATTCGACCATGAGTGTGGAAATGTTGGACTATAGCTAAATCTCACAAAGACAATGTTAATGAGAAACGGTCTCATTCCTGATGGTCCATTCACTCTCAATGGAATGAACATATCCGAATGCAACATTTATGTGTACCTAGGTCGAGAAGTCAACATGACGAATGACCTGGGACCTGAGTTGCGCAGGAGGAAGAGAACGGCTTTGAACCCTTTCAGGAACATCGAAGAAATAGCTAAGAGGACGAAGAACCTCTGGCTCTGGGCACATCTCTTCAATTCCACTGTTCTTCCTGCATTAACATACCCTCAGAGATCTGGGCCCTACAAAAACTGAATGAGAACACTATTCAGTTCTTCCAAAGAGGAATAGAAAGAGCTATGCTTGGAGTATCACGCTTTTCTCAAATGAGAGAAAGAATTCGGAGTTCCCACCTTCATTGACGGTGAAGAATCAGGGACACTGTCTTGTTTGTCCAGGCGTCGAAAATCAGATGCGCTGGACACATAATGAGATTTGGAGACGACCACTGGACTAGAGCCATTACCGACTGGATTCCATGGGACGTCAAATATCATGTGGCCTCCCACCAATGAGATGGTCAGACTTCTTCGTTAAGACTGTGAATGATTGGTTTGAGGCTCTTCATATTCCTAGAACGAGCAGATGCCACTGGGCTACATTAGCATGCGACATGGAGGAATGGAGACATTACTGGCGCCCACTCAAGCAATTTGATGAGTAACGGGATGTCAAGTGATCAAGTGATCAAGCTGTGAAGGTGGAGAAAGTAGTAAGTTCTTGGACTTGACTCCTCAAAAGCACCAAAATTGCAGATGAATGCAAAATTTTTCATTGCATATATTTCATTCAAAATACTATGTAATCTTCCATATCACTTCTTCTCATCCTCAACTGCCACATGAACTTTCTTTAAGAGAGATGAGGAGAGGCAAATGAAGATTTAAGAGCAAGAAATTGTTCTAAATAAGGTCCATGCTGGGTTAATATGTCTACCTCATTCTTGCTCCCATAAATTTAAGATAGAAAAACCTTTCTTTTTGAGTGCTTTATATGTCTTTAAATATATGGACAACTTAATATTTTTCCCGCACCAGTGTTTAATGAATATTAGATAGCATTCATTTCGTGGTTATTACAAATAATGTATTAAAAACATGGGATGACAGTTCATCAAGATCCTGATTTTAGTTCAGACAATATATACCCGGAAGTGGGTTTACCAGTTTTATGGTACTTAAAATTTTGAAGTAAATTTCACCTATTCATAATAACTGTGCTAACTTCCAATTTCATCAAAAAAAGTTCAAGTGTCCTCTAAACTGTACTATAGTGATCTAATAGTCCCCCCAAAGTGTGTTTTTATTATAATAGCATAGTCTCACTGGTCTCACAGCCATGCTCAAGGCCACTCTCCACATGCTCAGATGAGCCTCACCCATGATGGAACCGGCAGAGAACCCGTGGTGAAACCTCCAAGCCTGCTTGGATCAGAACTGTGTCTATTCCACCCAGATTTCCCATTTTCCAGTAGCTTGGCAGCCACACCCACAAATTGCCCCTGGTGCCTTGTAATCTCATAGGTAGCCAAGATCCAGAGACTATAAAACAAAGTTCCCAGAAGAGAGTGATGCAGTTTTATACTCTATACTCTCTTTCTCCCTCCCTCTCTCTCTCTCTCTCTCTCTCTCTCTCTCTCTCTATATATATATATATATATATATATATATATATATATATATGAGCTGGAGCGATAGCACAGCTGTAGGGTATTTGCCTTGTGTGCAGCCAGCCCAGTTGAGCCGGGTTTGATACTTCCACCCAACTCGAAGAGCCCGGCAACCTACCGAGAGTATCTTGCCCACATGGCAAAGCCTGGCAAGCTACTCGTGACATATTCAATATGCCAAACACAGTAACAACAAGTGTCACGATGGAGATGTTACTGGGCCCGCTTGAGCAAATCGATGAATAATGGGAGGACAGTGCTACAGTGCTATATATATATATATATATATATATATATATATATATATATATATATAATCTCCATCCCTCTCAGAGAGCCCAGCAAGCTACTGAGAGTATCCCACCCATACAGCGGAGCCTAACAAGCTACCTGTGGCATACTCTATATGCCCAAATCAGTGAAAAATAACAGTCCTCATTCCTCTAACCCTGAAAGAGTCCCCAATATGGCATTGGGCTACACTAGCACACAACAGGAATGAATAGCATTGTTAACTGGCGCCAAGGATGACAGTGATAGGGTGATACTCTCACTGGTCGAAAAGAATTGAATACAGAAAATAACCATCAGTTATATTAGCAGTTATGTCAACTGAGCCAGAAAAAAGAAAATGGGAAAAAGGAATCTACTTTAATAAATTGTTTTGGGGACAGAGAGATAATACAGTGAGTATGATTGCCTCGCATGTGATCGACGCAGATTCAATCCATTGCACCACACATGATCCCCTGAGCCCTTGCCAAAGTGATCCCTGAGCACAGAGCATGGAGTCAACACTGCTGGGTAACCCTTGTCAAATATATATATTTTTTCAAATATATATATTTGAAAAATTTGTATGTCACAGGAAAAGAAATAAAATTAGAAATTATCTCCTGTATTTGCAAAAAAAACTAGGCATGAATTAAAGATTTAGGTGTTAGAAGAAAAAAAACCCTTCATCAGAATTGTTTTACAGAAATCTTCAGTGATTAATTAGTCTTTGGCTATTAATAATTAAGACAATTTAAGAATAAATGGAATTATAAGAACTGAAAAGATTATTCATTTGGAGGGGCTGGAGATATAGCACACTAGGTAGGGCGCTTGTCTTGCATGTGGCCAACAGAGGTTCAATCCTCAGTTGATCAGGTGATCATTTCCACGGGTAAACCCTATGTCAAACTCTTTCATGAAACCTGCAAAAATACACCCAGAAATAGTTTAGTAGTTATTTGCAAATTCCCTAGTCCACTAAAATTGATACATGAAATAACCATTTTTCTTCAGTTCATACATTGAGAGAAAATTTTGTAGAATATCTTAAAATGCTACTATCACATTTCCCTAAACTACTTTTTATACCCATGTAAGTTTCCTGGTTCCTAAAATTCAGAGGCAAAAATCTCTACAATTATTTTAATGCCATTCTGCTCTATATCGTAGTGTTATTATTGAGTTTTCTCATATTGCTTTTATGTTATTAAACTTTATGCATTGAGGCAATCTATTCCCAAATTGATTAGCTTTATTATGCCACTGAACATAATATAAGAAATTGTAAACATCTCTTCACAGACTTTCAAAAAGAAATATATTGTATTGTAATCAATTTAATGACTTTTCATAATATTTTACTAAAATTTAAATATGCCTTCAACAATAAAATTACTGATGACCTATAATTTATCATCTTCATTCTCATAAATTCTTTATAATTCCAATCCCCTTAGTTATATTGATACTTCATTTCTCATAAGATATGACCCTAGTTTTATTACATAAACCTAGAATGTTCTGTAAATTAAGAAAAAAGATTCAGAAACTGAATCCAACATTATGCTGCCTACAAGAAACACATCTAAATTCAACATTCTCCTGCCTACAAGAAACACATCTGAACAGTCAAATCAAACAGGGACTCAAAGTCAAAGGATGGAAAAAAATCCTGCAAGCAAACAACTCCCTCAAAGAAAGCCAGGGTGGCCTTACTAGTATCTGACAACAAAGATATCAGGTTTAAGGAGATTAGAAGGGTCAACAGAGGCCATTTTTTATTAATCAAGGGACATGTAAAGCATGAAGAAATCACACTCCTAAACATATACACACCCAATGACCGACCAGCTAAATACTTAAAACAACAGCTAACAGACTTGAAGCAACACAATAGTAGTTGGTAGCAACATTGCTAGAAATACAATAGTAGTTGGAGACATATACACTGCCTTATCATCTCTGGATAGATCAACAAGATTAAAACTCAGTAAGGAAACACTGGTTTTGAAGGAAGAAATAGAAAGAGAGAGCTAATAGTTCTATACAGGGATTTACATACCCAAAACAAAGAATACAGTATGGTGCACAGCAACAAAGAACACCGCTGGAGGGCACCAAAGCTCCTGAAGAATGCTCCAGGTGCCAAATAGAGCTGATCTCACCGGGAGGTCCTAGATGGGGTAGGTGCCGCATCACGCCTTCTCCTGATGGAAACCCAGTGACCATGAGTCTCTACGAGCATAGGTTGGGCATGTGGGAACCAGGACATTTTTTTCCAAACCACGGGCCCGCTTATGCGGCCTTTCAACATCTCCTCATATATACAAAGTGATCAATGGAAAGTAAATCATCCAATGTTTCTCCCTGAAAATCAGGCTTAACTCTTTTGAAAACCATAACACTCAAAAGGAGAGAGAGAACAGAGGGGAATGATCTGCCACAGAGGCAGAGTGGGATAGGGGATATGGGGGGAGGGAGGGATACTGGGATCCGTGGTTGTGGGAAATGGGCATTGGTGGAGGGATTGGGTATTCGAAATAAAATAAATAAATAAATAATTTAATTTTAAAAAGAATACATATTCTTTTCCAGTGCACATGAAACATTTTAGAAAATAGATCATATGATGGGCAACAAAAATACCTCAACAGAATCAAGAAGATAGAAATTGTATCTATTAACTTTTCAGATCACTATGCACTGAAGATAGAAGTTAATCAAAGCACAGATGCAGAAAACCAATCAAACACCTGGAAATTAAGCAATTCAATGTTGAACTATGAGTGGGTCAAGAGGGAAATAAAGGAAGAAATCAAGATACCTGAAAGCAAAAGAGAATGAAGACACAAGCTACCAGAATCAGTGGGACGCAGCTTAAGCCATGTAAAGGGGAAAATTTATAGCTCTGCAAGCATTCCTCAGGAAGGAAGAAAGGGCCACATAAATAACTTCACTTCACAGCTCAAGATCTTAGAAAAGAACCAACAAAAGGAGCCCAAACCAGAAAAGGGAAGAAATAATAAAACATAGAACAGAAATCAATGATATGGAAACCCCCCCAAAAAATCTGAAAGGTCAATGAAACTAAGAGATGGTTCTTTAAGAAAAAAAAAAGATTTGTAAACCATAAACAAAACTCACAAAGAAAGAGAGAGAGAGAGCCCTAATAAACCGAATCAGAAATGAAAATGGGGACATCACAACA